GTAATTTGCATATTTCTTTGAAATTAAAGGATATTTTGCCAAAAAAACTATCCAGTAGTTTTTGTCATGCCCTAGCCTATCTGCCATAGGAATATGAGCGAAATCGAATTTTCGACCCTTGCCGCGAAATTAAGAATTTGTCTGATTTTTACAGGCAGGCACTCTTAACAGTGTGGCAGTTCCCAGCGATTTATTTACCGTAGGGTTTTCAGGATCTTTTAGACGTGCAGCTATTTCGTAGTTGTTCCAAGCACGGTGGAATTTCTTCCAGTTCGTCGCCAAGTCCCCTGTGAGCTCTAATTTTGAGGGCAATGGGATGTTTATCGGGATTTGTGCCAGATTTGGTTGTGCGACGGCTTCTTGTACTTGCACAGATGCGCCGCTACCCTCGGGTGTCGGTGGCATACTTAGTATTTTGAAGTTAGCTAGATTTCTTCAGCAGAGAGTTCCTTCCGAAAACACAAGACAATTCCACTCACCGTTGTTTTCCGCTATTCTTTGTGAAGAATTTGTCGAGTGGCTATTGCAGAACACAGTAGAGATCGGAGACTACCTCTAGCATAACAGTTCGCAGATCAGAGTTGCTCGACCACGTGCGTGCGAACAAATCTCTTTCCAGAACACTTTCCCGTACGCTGAGCGGTAATTCATCGATGGCAACAAATGTAGAAACCGGTTTTCACTTCTGACACCATGTAACGTATTCGCTAGGTCAGACAACGAAGCACCAGAACATCTAAACACAACGTTTAATCTTGTAAGCCGAGTGTACATCAAGTGAAGCGAGCGAACACATCTAGGATCCCGAATGTAAACTAAACTGTATAAATTAACTTAACATGCATGAATTAACATCGTTACAATTCCGTCTGTTCAAAAACCAAACCACCGAATAGACCTAAAAGCGAGTGCAAATTGTCAAAATTTACAACGGTACAAGTTCGCCTCATGGGTGAAGGTTACTCGGCTACAAAAAAAATACGGATCGAAAATCACCAATCACAGCCCACTGGCATTGGCCTTTTGAGCTGAACGTGAGACAACACCGATCAGCATCGCTTGTGATTGGCTCATTTTTTCTTGCTCTCAGACGTGCTGTCTAGCTGTGTCTAATCGTAAAGATTGTTGTATGTCTTCTCGATTCAAACTCGCTTTTCCGTAAAGTATCGTTCATGTCTATTCTTTGCTGATTCATAAGCTGAAATAGGAAAAGAAACATTTTTCAGTAATTGAAAACGGTAAAATTGAAGATTTGTCTTGGAAGAAAAAGCCATCTCGTTGTTTGGTGTCAAGTCGTGACACCTAAATGCTGCGGTTTGGCGATTATCTTTTCCGGTTTGATCTCGCATCTGATTGATCGCGAAACAATAAACATTCCAGAAATTTTGTCTGCCGTGTTCACCGTTTTACGGGAAAGACTGTAATTATGCAAATCAACCCAAAAAACGTAGGTACAAGTTGGTTGGTGAAATTGATTAAGATGCAGTCAAAGAACAAGCTAAGAATGGCAGGCTGCAGAAAATAAACAAACAGAATAGATCTCTAATAATGCTGCTATCCTAACAGGGTGATTTCCGGCACAACAGCACGATTTCGCACAAACAGATTTAAGTTGTCTGCATTCTCGGAAATCAAGATTAATCTAACGTCGAAACTAGTTTGTTTCCACGTTTGCCACGGTCTCTAATCTTTGCAAAAAGAGACCATCAGCGCACCTATAAATAAAATCAAGGGATGTATTCTATGCCATGCCCATCTAATGGTTTGGATTCATTGCGCGCAAACTGTTTCTGCGTCTAAGGCCCAGTTCAGACGCCGAACGTTTCATGAGCCGAACCTAATACGTTGAATTAAGAACGTGAAAAGTTCGGCGTCTGAATCAGTTAAAAACGGCTATTTGAATTTGGAACGGCACAACCGTTCTTCCCGCCTAGCTCAACCGCGAATTTCGGCTTTGGAACGGCTTTGATTCAGACGTCGAACTTTTCATGTGCCGAACCTAATGCATACACCTTGCCTGAAAACCGTTGATGTTTCTATATTTTTTGGTTCAAACTAAATTAAGTTCGGTGAATTAAGTTCGACGACTGAATCAACAGGCGTACTTTTGATAATTTGGGTCGGTCCAAATTCGAATTAAGTTCGGCTCATGAAAAGTTCGGCGTCTGAACTGGGCCTAAGTCAATCGTGTGAGGAAGGTGTTCATCACGAGGTCGACAAACAAATGAAGACTTTGCAGTATCAGCTGAATTGTCGTTATCTGTAACTGATTTTGTGCTCAACTTCATTATCCAAATCAAGGCGAACGAATAAACAGCCATCTGACGTGATATTATCTAACCCAAAAGCCTCTGAACATTTCCAAAGAAACTTACCGTCGTGTTTGCAGGGTCACTTGGGTTGACTGGCTTGTATGTAAACGTACCGCCTCGAAAATGAGTGCACAATACATCGTTTATGAGCACAAGAAACACAATCGAAATTATGCTTTTTCCAGAAAGTTCCATTCTCATGCAGCTGTAGAGGACATAATGTCAAACGCGAGCTGATCAAGGTATATGTTCCCTGGACATTGGTATTTTTCTGTTGACTAGTGACAGAAAAATTTCACTGACAGACTTAATACTCACTGTGTGTAATATATTCGTAACCGGAAGTTGTGTTAAGCTGTTGTATTACCCAAGATGCTTAGAGAATAAAGT